ATCCAAGTGTGAGTAAACTCACGGTGTGAAGCGTGGCATTCGTAGCTCAAGTAGGTGGAGCGTTAGCTTGCGTAGAAGGCCCTCCCTCCTATGCGGGTTCGAATCCCGCCGAATGCCGCGAGTTTTTTCATAATTGGGTCAACTAAAATGTCCCAGGTTCCTCTTATATGGACCGTCTAACCATGCGCTTTTTCCGTTTATTCATTTTCGCAGAAATTAATTTCTAACTCTGCGTATATCAGTATCTTAAAGGGTGTACAGCTGTATACCAACATTTGTGCCGATGTCCATAAACTACTGCCTCATAACCGCGTAATATTCACAAATTGCCATCAGGCAGTAATTAGGTAGGTAATATACCTTTAAAATTTGCAAAATTGCCCATTGTAAATATCAAAAGCTAAATTGGCGAGCATACGCTTGTTTTCGATAAATTCTCATCAGGGCTTTACATTTATATGGTAATGGAATAAATAAACTATGCATGTTGGTGGAAAGACTTAGTATTGTTGTAGCCAGGGCCGGTGGGGTGTGAGGGATTGAAGTCAAATGCCAGTGTCTATGCGGCCCGGTGGCCAAGACAGATGATATGGTGCGCATGCGGTTGAATTGGGGACTTCTGCGTCCCCGGGATGACCTGTTTCCGAGGCCGGTGATAAGCCCTGTGCGGTTGTGATATCGACTTCTGCCCATGGTACCTGCGGCGGCGTTGCAAAGTTCATTTGAGCGCACAATCCCGGTCTGCGTAGTCTGATGGCAGCCGCTTCTGCTGTAGCTAACGGCTGGGGGCATCTTGTAGAGCACTCGGAAAGCCTCTCTGGCATCCACGCGATGGTTTGAGTTTACCACGTGCACTAAGAAAGAAGTATTTATGCTCCTCACTTGGCTCTTCTCTAACCATGCCGGAAGGTGTTCTCGTACTCTTTTGGACAGACGCTGGCTTGTGCAACTAATATATTCTGCCCCACAGGAGCAGGTGAGTGAATAGATGGACATAGAGGTGGTCTGGGCTGGCAGTTTGTCCATTATCTCTCCCTATAGGATGGGCGTAGTTGAGAACAAGGAATGGGCGTTGGCTGCTGGATAGGTTTTCGATACAGCTTGGCTCAGGCGCCTACTAAGAAGTTTGCTCTGCGCGTCCTCTTGTAATGGGAGCCCGATGAAGCGTTGTGTCTTCTCTGCTGTCAGCACCGGTGGCTTTGTCGGTCTTTCAGCCATGTTCTTGGCAATAAATTGACTAGGATATCCATTTCGTCGAAAAAGGCCTCCTGCTATCTTAAGGTCTTCGTCGATGTTGTCGGTCGAGCAAATCCTCCTCGCCCTTTGTGTCAAACATCGTACTAAATTACGTTGGAAGTTTACTAGTACGAAACCAGCAAAATGGGGTATACTGCCCGGACCACGTCTTCTTACGAATGACCCTACGTTGAATACTCCCATCAGACTTTTTGCTCAAAAGTACATCGAGAAAAGGGAACGATCCGGACTACTCTTCTTCAAGTGTGCATTTTGTGGACGGACGTGCATGATTTACGGGATGCACTAGAGTTGAAATGTTCTTTTGGTCAGATGCAACCGCGAATCTATCATCCACGTAACGTCAGTAGTACGTCAGATTATTAATCTGGTGGCGAATTTGCGAAGTTTCTGGTTTGCCCATGAATATATTCGCTAGAAGCGGGCCCAGGGGCGGGCCCAGGGGCGAACCCATTACCATATAAATGTACAGGCTTGGAGGGAATTTATCGAAGGCAAACATATGTCCGCCAACATGCCTTTTGTTTGGAATAATGTGGCCACCACTATTAATGAAACATAAATGTGTCTTTACGGAGAAGAAAGTGATTTGCTTCGTTGAACATCTTGGTGTAGAGAATTTCAAACTCTTCAGTGAGATAAACG